TGTGCTTTTGTGCGTGTATGTGTGTGTCTGTGTGTGTGTGTGTGTGTGTGTCTGTGTGTGTGTGTCTGTGTGTCAGTGTGTGTGTGTGTGTGTGTGTGTGTGTGTGTAATTGTCTGTGTCTGTGTGTGTGTGTGTATGTGTATGTCTGTGTCTCTGTGTGTCTGTGTCTGTGTCTGTGTGTGTGTGTGTGTGTGTCTGTGTGTGCTAGAAAACAACAGCTTATCTCACCTGATGATTAAACACCTTGACGCTACCTGAGGGGTTAGGTTAAGGTGTTTAATCACCAGGTAAAATAAGCTGGGGTGCCTAATATACAAGTGACCCCTGAAATACTATATACTTCATCACACACACACACACACACACACACACAGTACCTCTCCTGCAGGACGAGCCAACAACCCTGACCTACAGCACGGAGGAGGAGCTTTGGCGAGGCCCATACCCCCACCTTCTGCTGCACCGCTCTACTGTTCCTTACCTCACCTCACCTAACCTATCCTAACTTAATATAACCTAACCTATCCTAGGGTGGGTAGAGACACAAATGGGAGTATAGTTGGTTCATTAAATTCAAAGTTCATTACGAGAGAGAAACAGATTTGGACACACAGACAGGTCTACGCAGAGGCCGGGTGATGGTGTGTAAAGGGAAGGTGTGATGGAGTGTAGATGGAGAGGGAGGAAGGTGTGATGGAGTGTAGATGGAGAGGGAGGAAGGTGTGATGGAGTGTAGATGGAGATACTTATTGGGGACACAGTGGGGGAGGGAGGGTGAGGGAGGGTGAGGGAGAGGGGAGGGAGGGTGAGGGAGGGTGAGGGAGGGGGGAGAGGGAAGTATTGAATATACAGACTGTGGAGGGAAGACGCGGGGTGTAGAGGTGTAGATAATAGAGCTTTTGTTTAATTGTGGTGAGTGGAGGTGTGGAGGGTGTAGGTGTAGTGGGTGGAGGGTCTGAAGAGTAAGGGAGCTAAGGGTGGAGTGTATAGAGTGTGTGTAGGGTGGAAAGAGTGGAAAGGGTGGGACGGGTGTAGAAAGAGTAGGAAGGTTGGAAAGGGTGGGAAGGGTGGAGGATGGAAAGGGGTTATCAAAGGCCTCAGCTGAGTTATAAACGTTTCAATTATAATTTCTGATAAATTACAGCGAGCAGCGGGAATACCAGAGATACAAATGCCCCTCTCCCTTCCTCCCTCCTTCACACACTGCCAATTACAGCAGAAACGATAATAATAATAATAATAATAATAATAATAATAATAATAATAATAATAATAATAATAATAAAATGACAATAACAACAATAACAGGAACAATAATAATGCTGTAATAACAATAACAGCAATAATAATAACAGAAACAACAACACTAATAAGAACAGCAATAACAAACACATCCTGAATCACGGGATGTATTAAGCAAAAACAAAAATACTTCTTGAAAAAAAAAACGTATCATTACCCGTTAACTGAGACGAAAGAGTAACATAACAAAAGAAGAAAGACTAATGAAGCATCTCTCCACTAACACCATGAATGAGCTGTTACATTAAGGTTACTGTAGTGAGTAATACTTGTATCTTGCACGGGAAAATATATTTATCCACCTGCTGATAAAAGGGATAATCGGCAACTCATCAGAGGAGGGACTAAAGTTGCCATCGGTCGCTATAAAGGATAATATGTTCAAATGCATAACGAGCCTAAAATATTTCTTCTTACAAGTGCTATTACTATTCTATTAATATGACTACAACTATTGGTATGATTTTTATTATTATTTCCACTATTAATACGACGACTACTACTACTACTACTTGTCCCTTTCCTAAAATAAAAACAAATTAGGTACTCCAGCGTCGACCCTACTTAACAATTCAATGACTGAGATGTAAACAGAGCAGCCAGCATCTGTGAGTAGTGCGACGGCCGGAAAAAAATGTCACAGCGAGTAAGTCCCAACTTTTCCTGGTTTAGGTTAGGTTACTAAACCGTGTACACCATCACAAATTACAGACACTTTAAACTCTCCCACTACTGTAATACACAAATCAGTTTATTTTCGTTGAGCAAAATTTAATAAATAAATAAATTGAAAAAATATTGAAAGAAGGGCAAGGTTACAGTGTTGCCAATTATAATCGTTTAACAGGTGTCAGTGTTGCCAACTTAATAGGAAAAAACGTTTGCATTTCATTTTACTTTAATAATTTCATTTATTATCAACCGCCTGAACATACCGAACATAGAACGAACATAACCTATTTTAACCTTAAACTAACTTATTCTAACTTAACCTGATCTACCTTAACCTAATCTAACGTAACTAACCAATACTTGAAGGGGAGGAGTAGGAAGGGAAAGGGGGGGAGAGTAGGAAGGGAAGGAGAGTAAGGGGGAGGGAGTAGGAGGGAGGGAGTAGAAGGGGAAGAGTAGGAAGGAGCAGGAGGGGAGGAGTAGGAGGAGGAGTAGAAGGAAGAGTAGGAAGGGGAGGTGGGAGGGAGGAGTAGGAGGGAGGAGTAGGAGGGGAGGAGTAGAGAGGGGAAGAGTAGGAAGGGAAGGGGAGAGTAGGAAGGGGAGGAGTAGGAGGGAGGTAGGGGAGCAGTAATGGAGGAAAGTGTAGAAAAGCGAGAGAACATGAACTCAGACAAAGCCACAGACACACACACACACACACACACACACACACACACACACACACACACACACACACACACACACACACTTTGCTTCACTAGTTCATACTGATTCGATTCACCACGTTCGTCCCCTCCATTAAAACATCCAAATAAACAAAAAACAAAAAATAAGAAAAAATTGCACAATACATAAAACAACTCATATGGGTAATAAAAAAAATACAAATAAATAAAAACTAAAAAAGGTAATAAATAAATAAATAAAATACAAAACTACTCAACAGTAATAAATAAATAAACCAATAAATAAATAGAGTTACTAATGAGAGAGAAACACATTAAACACCTTTACAAATTTCGACTCCATGACGTACAGGTGTAAATAAAACGAAGAATGAGGTCATTATCCCGTCGTTCACACCTGGCCATACCTGACCTGATCCAACCGTTCCTTAGTGATAACAGTGAGGATAAACACGTGTATATATATAAAAACAAACACATGAATATTCTAACTAAACAAACAATCGCATTATTAAACTCGTAGACATACACAACACATTCTCATCATTATTCTGACATACAACATCCATACACAAACACACGATAACATTCATACACAAACAAACACATTATAACACTCAACAAACACACACAGGCATGAAAGCAAATATCAACTCACATCCAAGCAGATAACAAACACACAACAATAGCATCAAACAAACACACGATAACATAAACAAACACACAAGTAAGACAATAACAACGCCAAAAGTCGATAACACTATTCCAAACATAAGACCAAGAACGATAGCAAAAACAGACCCAGGATAACACACACACACACAGACACAGACACAAGTAAGATAACAGACACAGGTAAGATAACAGAAACACATATATCAGTATCAGAGACAAATGTGATAACCGGTGCAACGTGACACACTCTGATAAAATAAGATAACACATGCAAGAGAAGTGACTCATGTAAGATAACCAAAGCACAGGGAATATAAATTTTATATAACAGAAATATATGATAACGGTACATTTATAACAATCCGATATAAATAAAATTATGGAAATTGTACTGTATATATCGTGAATAATAATAATAATAATAATAATAATAATAATAATAAAATAATAATAATAGTAATAATAAAATAATAATAAAATAATAATAATAGTAATAATAAAATAATAATAAAATAATAATAATAATAATAATAATAATAATTATAATAATAAAAATATTTTTATTATTTTTATTAAATTATGACAACAAAACAGTATGACAACACAACCAGGACAGTATGACAACACAACCATGATAGTATGACAACACAACCAGGACAGTATGACAACACAACCAGGACAATATGACAACACAACCATGATAGTATGACAACACAACCATGACAGTATGACAACACAACCAGGACAGTATGACAACCCAACCATGACAGTATGACAACACAACCAGGACAATATGACAACACAACCAGGACAGTATGACAACACAACCAGGACAGTATGACAACACAAGAACATTAACAAGACACAAACACAAAATAAATGCACAAAAACAAACATACATAAACAACAACAAACAACATCATCCCAACACAAACAAGACAACATCCCAACACAAACATAGTAAAAAAGCGGACAACTGTTATTATAGACGTTACGTTATCACAACACAAGTAAAAGATAACATTACCTTGAATTGATAACAAGGTGGTGATCATGCCGTATTATTTAGAGCATAGTGAGATAAAACATCACCAAAACACAGGGAAACGATAACAAGTACTGATAACACAAACACGTGTACACACACTGTGATCCAACTGTGTTTTTGTCACAAACACTTCCCAGCTCTTCATAGTAACAATGTTTTCATTTGTTTGCAGTATGAGAATAAACAGTAGGTAAACATTCACATTTTGCTGAACATCACAAACATGTAAATAACTGTTGCATAAACAACACGTCCAGAGTAAACAAATGTTGTCTACGTTTGTGCTTTAAAATTTGTATCATCACTAAATTCAGATAAATTACGATTATTGATGACCTAAGATGATAATTCAGTATCAATAACATCCAGCCAATCACGTGAGTTGAAACGTTATTAAACACAAAAAATAACGTGGTTTTATGGTCTTGATACAACACTGTCGTCCGGTAAATAACAGCGAGAAATGTTAATAACTGTATGCCAATAACATCACACACGCTGGAGTGAGTTAGTGGACGACACACTTTGTTGACATAAGACTAAGTTCATCACTGAGATCACTGAACGGGTACGTTAAGAGAGGGAAAAAACTCCCCAGTACCTCTCACAGGACTCACCTCAGCAGGGGTGTAGCGGCGACGTCTTGAATACACAGGTAAGGAAGAGGGAGAGAGTGAGTGAGAGTGAGAGAGAGAGAGACCAAACTCTAACTCAGACTCACGTGCTCAAAGGCAACCCCAGCAGCTGTAGTAGATCCAGGCAGGGCCAAGAGGTAAACATTGCGTCACTACACAGTCCCATCCGCATAATACACAATAAACTTTTTTTTAATTCGCGGGTTAAATACGTGCCCGATCACCAAGGTCACGTTCAACAGCGGAAACACACAGAGCCACCAGAATATGCCGACACAACACACAGGCTTGGCGCGAAGAATATGCTGAGTAGAGTCGGGTCTCTCCCCAGTGCGACTTTTCGAACAAACGCACGCACGCACCGCCGCGCTCCCCGAGCCAGACACTGGCGATAGAGAGCGAGGGAGAAAAGAGCCAGGGAGGGAGGGAGTGCACGAGTTGGCCGAGCGAGCGAGTGGAGAGAGGGAGAGAGGAAGGAGGAGTGGTTAGAGCGACGTGAGGGGGGGAGGGAGGGGGGGACTGGCGACCAGGCGGGAAGAGGTGGAGGAGGAGGAGGGGTTTAGAGAGCCAGGAGGCAGAGCCACAGAGTGGAAGAGCAACGCGCGGGGCGGCTCTTTACGGCTCTTGGCTCCCGGCCCACTCCGACCTGAGGCTTATCGACCCCCTACCTCACTCACCACCACCACTCTCTCACAACTCTCACCACGCCACCACCACCACCACTCACTCACCACACAGCCACTCTCCACCACTCACCACACAACCAAGCTCCACTACCACCACCACCACTTACTCATCACGCTATACCACCACCCGCTCACCACACAACCACCACCACACCACTACACAACCAAGCCTACCATCAATACACAACCACACCCCTACCACTCACCACACCCCACCACTCACCACACCCCTACCACTCACCACACCCCTACCGCCACTTTCTCACACCTCACTGCTCACAACACAACGCGACTATCTCTCCCTCTCTCCACACAACCATCCTTAACATCATTATTACACATTCACTCCCCATGCCCACTTTTAACCTACCAACACACTCCATCTACACACTTCGCCACACCTACTCGACACACTTCACCTAGACTCCACTACACATTCCACACACACACACCCACTTCACCAACACACTTCACCTAGACACTCAACACACACCCGCTATCAACACACTTCATCTAGACACTCAACACAGTAATATGAGTCTACGAGGTACTCATAAATGATTCCCGTGTGAGTCACCTATGGGAGCGAGTAGATTCTCTCTACTCACAATCTACACTCACAGGTTATGAGTCAAAGGAAATGACGTCATATTCCTACATTAAATAAACGTAGGAGTGCAAACAGTCCCGTGAACAAACATACATATACATATAAACATACACAAATACATACATACATACACAAATACATACATACATACATACACATCTGGTTTCCTGTGGCTTACTTTCACAACTCATAATTCACAAGGATACTCACAAGCTAACACGTAACTCATAACACTTCACGACTCACGACTCATATAATACTATTCTCGAGTCAGTTAATTTAATTCTCAAAGCCAGAATGACTCACAGGAATACAAATGACTCATAAATGTACACATTATTCATAACTCGCCAACATTATTCACAACTCGCCAACATTATTCACAACTCGCCAACATTATTCACAACTCGCCAACATTATTCATAACTCGCCAACATTATTCATAACTCGCCAACATTATTCACAACTCGCCAACATTATTCACAACTCGCCAACATTATTCATAACTCGCCAATAAAAGTCGAAGGTTGACGAGAGAAACGTAAAAATATGCCGATTTAAACCCCCAAAAAAATCGCCAGAGGATTTCACTAATTGCTATGGAAATCTTAAATCGCCAGATATAATAGATTTCGCCTGTGGGTCAAAAATAATTGCCAATGACTAAAGAAATCGCCAATGGGACTCTAAAATCGCCAAGTAGCTGTCAGTAAATCGCCAACGTAACTCATCAATCGTCAGATAGACCTCACTAATTCGCCAACGGAAATCGGAAGTAAGCAATATAGAACCTGGAAGTTGGTGAGCAAGACCCGGATGTTGAGAGAAAGAGAAAGAGAGAGAGAGAGAGATAGACAGAGAATCACAAAACCAGGCACCAGCATCACCATGACGGGGTGTCGGTCCGGTTCATTCACTCGCTCATGCTCACCAGGATGGGCCAACATGATGGACGAACGAGGGGCCAACAGAATGGACCAACGACGGAACAACAGGATGGACCAACGACAATAACAGAATGGACCAACAGGATGGATCAACATGATGAACTAACAAGATGGACCAACAGGATGGACCACAGAAGATGGGTCTCTGGCCACAAGTCGGTCTCTCACATCCACCTGCTGGTTTACCGCTGGTGCGTGAAGAGCATCCTCACTATGGAGAAATCCTCAGGAGATAATTTCCCACCTGAGGAAATACCTGTGTACACTTTCCCACCCGAGGAAATACCTGTGTACACTTCCCCACCCGAGGAAATACCTGTGTACACTTCCCCACCCGAGGAAATACCTGTGTACACTTTCCCACCCGAGGAAATACCTGTGTACACTTTCCCACCCGAGGAAATACCTGTGTACACTTTCCCACCCGAGGAAATATTTGTACATCTCGAAAGTATCATGATCCATATGGTGACGTCAGCTGATAATGGCCTCTTTATGATATTATTGATGTCACCAGAGCGATATTGATGTCACCCCTGTATATTACTGACTCAATGTGCAGCAAGTTGGTAGAGTACAGTTACATTGAAGTCACCCATCCATTCACTCGTTGCAATCAGTTACATTGATGTCACCCATTCATTCACTCGTTGCAATCAGAGCCACACTGATGTCACCTATTCACTCGTTGCAATCAGAGCCACACTGATGTCACCCATTCATGCACTCGTTGCAATCAAAAGGCATTAATACTCAAAAGATGCAATATCATGTCATACTAGAAAAGATTGACTCGCGTTGCATCACTATTTGACTAGCGTTGCGTCACAATACACGAAACTACAGGCGATTCTGCACAATAACCACCATCTACACCACACTGTCACCACTCTAATGCCAAACTTACACGGTATCATCTACGTTTTTTTTTTGCACCATAATGATGACGTTTGCATAATAATGGCGCTAAACTAGAAACAACGACGCTATATCGAGTTAAGTTTTACCTGAGTGCAAAACTAGCACAACACTAACTACTGACTGTGTATTGACCCTATATGACCCCCAAAAGATGACCTTTAGTGTGTATACAGGTGTGTGTGTGTGTGTGTGTTATAAACTTGTGTTCATTACGTGTCAACACAAAGCCACGACACTCCAACACGCAACACATTATTGATTCATTCCGCCTTGTGCAACATGGAACACCCCCACTTACACAATACTGACTGAGCCACAAGCGAGGAACCCAGGCGTGTTGACATACACCTGACTGAGGGACACGTGCAGCTGCGACTAGGGAACCTACCACACCTGTGAAATGACTCACGCTCAGGTTAACGTACAGATGCGACTAGAGAGTCCACGAAACCTGTGAACTGACTCAGACTCATACAAACTGGTATGACCAGGGACATGCGACACCTGTGGAGTGACTCATCTTCAGGTAGTCGGTACAAGTGTGACCGAGGAACCGACAACACCTGTCAGGTGATCCACCCAGGTGCTCGTACAGGTGTGATAAGAGATGCCACGAAACACACTACTTTATACAACCATTATTCCCAGAGAACCAATAATTAACACCTGTGAAATCACCAGATGTTACCGCAGCGTCGACAACACCTGAAACACAATCAACTTCGTCCACCAGGTGTTCCCAGACCACCAACAACACCTGGGAACTGATCAGCTGTTCACAAAACCGCCGAATACAACAGCAGCGAGCCCCCACTACCTTTTTTATCTTGGTGCCATCTCTGGTTGTGTGTGAAGTAACAGCTGATGGTTCTTGGTTTGTAATTGAAAGTGAACCGATCAATTATATGGCGGAGATACTGCAGTGTCTGGCCCACACAGGTGAACCCATGGAGTGTGGGTACATAGGTGACCCACAATGCATCACCTGTTGTGCTATATTACGATGAACAATAAAACAACATCAATAATAACAACAAGAATAATGTCGTACTGAAGTTAATATCATACGGTCATATAAAGAAACGCACATTAATTACAATAATTACACGTATTAATAGTGACTACATAGTCACATATTACAAACATTGGCTGTAGTATTTAAGGTATGATATACACATACATTCAAATATATAAATGCATATACACAGAACACACACACACATATATATATATATATAGTGCACATGCATACAGGTACACCTACGCATACTCCTACAGAGGTGAACACACACACACACTTTATTTACATTTTCTTAATGTATTCTTCACTAATATCAATCAACATCTATATTGGTTTAGTTAATAAAAAAATCCCCTTTATGGTCAGTAATTTAAATATCTCCTGTTTAATACAAAGAGAATAATACATCAGGTCATAATGTATTCTGTAATTTAAGTAATACAGAGAGTCGTCAGGAATGCAGTACTGCATTTCACTGGTTCACGACACTGTACCCAAAATACAGCTTTGTGACCACTTGACCACAAGGGAGGAAATATTACAGACCCGGCAGCACATGACATCTGTATTGTACACGTACTGTACAGAGATTGTCTGAATACAGTGTTATGTTTCTGACTCTTATAGTGCATTACTCTTGGTACTGTTTAAGGCACTGTAACACTGGGCACTAAATGAGGCACTGTAACACTGGGCACTAAATGAGGCACTGTAACACTGGGCACTAACCGAGGCACTGTAACACTGGGCACTACTGAGGCACTGTAACACTGGGCACTGTAACACTGGGCACTAAATGAGGCACTGTAACACTGGGCATTGACTGAGGCACTGTAACACTGAGCACTGAGGCACTGTAACACTGAACACTGGGCACTAACCGAGGCACTGTAACACTGGGCACTAACTGAGGCACTGTAACACTGGGCACTAACTGAGGCACTGTAACACTGGGCACTAACTGAGGCACTGTAACACTGGGCACTGAGGCACTGTAACACTGGGCACTAACTGAGGCACTGTAACACTGGGCTAACTGAGGCACTGTAACACTGGGCAACTGACTGTAACACTGGGCACTAACTGAGCACTGTAACACTGGGCACTAACTGAGGCACTGTAACACTGGGCACTAACTGAGGCACTGTAACACTGGGCACTAACTGAGGCACTGTAACACTGGGCACTAACTGAGGCACTGTAACACTGGGCACTAACTGAGGCACTGTAACACTGGGCACTAACTGAGGCACTGTAACACGGCACTAACTAA